GTTGACTCAACAAGCACATCTCCCCAGAAATTTTTACTGTAGTTTTTTTTTCTATTTTCCTTTTCCTTTTGTTTTGTTTTGCTCTACTATGTTGCTGAAGGTTCTCAATTGGACTTGAGCCTTCTGAGGACTATTTTCATTCACAGATAGCTTTGTAATTGTTTTTGTTTGTTTGTTTTGTGGGGGATGATGGGGAGCAGCCACCAAGGCTAGTATCTCCTACTCTGCCATTTTGCTAATGTCACTCCCCCAAATACTTCTGGTGCATGTACAGAGAGTGTCCTGTGTTTCCCTTTAGTTCACCCTTGTCCTTGTCCTTGAACAAAGGACAAAGTAGTAGCTCTGTGGCGCCATCATTCTGCTGATGCTGTCATTGTGTACTTGTGCTTTTTGTTAGTCCTGGAAATAGAACTGAAGCATGGGCTGTCATCCTCAAGACAGTATGGTATTGGCACAAAAACAGACCCATAGACCAATGGAACAGAATTGAGAACTCAGAAGTGGACCCAAAAGTATACAGCCAACTGATCTTTGACAAAGCAGGAAAGAATATCCAATGGAAAAAAGACAGCCTTTTTAACAGATGGTGTTGGGAGAACTGGACAGCAACATGCAGAAGAATGAAACTAGATCATTTTCTCACACCATGCACAAAAATCAACTCAAAATGGATAAAGGACCTGAACGTGAGACAGGAAACTATCAACACCCTAGAGGAGAAAGCAGGAAACAACCTCCTTGACCTCCACCGCAGCAACTTCTTACTTGACACATCCCCAAAAGCAAGGGAATCGAGAGCAAAAATAAACTGTTGGGACCTCATCAAGATTAAAAGCTTCTGCACAGCCAAGGAAACAACCCAGAAAATTAATAGGCAACCAACGGAATGGGAAGAGATAGTTGCAAATGACATATCAGATAAAGGGTTAATATCCAGAATCTATAAGGAACTCACCAAACTCCACGCCCGAAAAACAAACAACCCAGTGAAGAAATGGGCAGAAGACATGAACAGACACTTCTCCAAAGAGGACATCCAGATGGCCAACAGACACCTGAAACGATGCTCAGCATCCCTCCTCATCAGGGAAATACAAATCAAAACCACACTGAGATACCACCTCACGCCAGTCAGAGTGGCTAAAATGAGCCAATCAGAGAACTCTAGATGCTGGCGAGGATGTGGAGAAACGGGCACCCTCCTACACTGTTGGTGGGAATGTAAACTGGTACAGCCCCTCTGGAAAACAGTGTGGAGGTTCCTCAGGAAACTAACAATAGAACTCCCTTATGACCCAGCAATAGCACTGCTAGGAATTTACCCAAGGGATACAGAAATGCTGAGGCATAGGAGCACATGTACCCCAATGTTCATAGCAGCACTCTCCACAATAGCTAAAACATGGAAAGAGCCTAAGTGTCCATCAACAGACGAATGGATCAAGAAGATGTGGTTTATCTATACCATGGAATACTACATGGCAATGAGAAACAATGAAATCTGGCCATGTGTAGCAACATGGATGGACCTTGAGGGTGTTATGCTGAGCGAAATAAGTCAGGCAGAGAAGGACAAATACCATATGTTTGCACGTATAGGAGGATTAGGAGGAACTTGACGGAGGACCAAGGGGGAGAAGAAGGGCGGAAATGGTGGGGGAAAGGGAGAGAGGCAAACCATGAGAGACTCTTGAATGCTGACAAAAACTGAGGACTGATGGATGTGGGGGGGAGGGGGGGATGGGCATGAAGGAGGGCACTTTGGGGATGAGCACTGAGTGTTATGTAGAAACTAATTTGACAATAAACTATTTGTAAAAAAAAAAAAAAAAAAAACTGAAGCATGGGCAATAGAGTGAAGACACAGGATTCAGCGTTTCATCGTGGTAATGGTCTTTTCATTCTGTGTCAGTCAGTATTGTCTCTTGGAAACATGGGCTCCGTTTTAGCATTTCCCTATTCAAGATCCTCTGAGACTTCTCAGTGTAGTGAGAGTGAAGACTAAACACTTAGCCTGTGAGATCCATAGTGACCCCTGCCCTCTTCTATTCCTATTGTCCCTCTAGGCCTCCAGGAGCCATTCCTCAGCCTTCCTTTAGTTCTTTGACCTATTCCTGCTGCCTTGGTTCTCTGCTATACACTCTCACATGGTGGGTTCTGTCCTGCCTGTAGGTCTTAATTCAGACATTACCTCTTCAGTGTCAGCCGCTCTGATCACCTGTCATGTTTGACCTCTTACATATTCTGTCATTGTCTTTCTGACTTCTTACTTACTCTGTCATTTTTTTTTTTTTAAGTTTCTTTAATAACACCTCTCACCATCTGGAAGATCTCCTTTGTAAATGTATTTATTAAAATTTTATTTGTGGTCTGTCATTTCTCATTGAAGGTAAGTTTAGTGAAAGCAAGTCCTTCATCTTCTGCACCATGTGAAATTCCTGGGACATGCTGAGTGTGCACACTAAATCAGTATTTGTGGAATGAATGTATGAATGGACACAACAAGCCCCTTTTATGGTATGTGCTGTGTTAGCAATTTAAAAAATTAAGTCATATTCAGATCTGAAGCAGTGTTTGTTATAATCTGGAATTGTTGGTTGGAATTTTTACAGAAATCCAGGGTCAGGCTTACTTGGAGAAGTACTACTGCTGATCATAATCCCCCCACCCCCCTTTCCTCCTACCACTAATGGCTATTCTTGGCAGTAGAGCCAGTTTCCGGGTGAGAGCTTTATTGATTTTGGCCAAAGGCCATTGCAAACTTTCAGTATTACAAAGGGTCTCTGGGCCTCCCTTCTTGACTAGGATGGTGTTCCTGACTTGAGGAGCTAAATTTGCTGAAAATTGAAGGGCAGAATAGAAATTGTGCATATTAACATTATTATTTTATACATATTCTAAGGAATTGTCCAGATTTGCTTTGAGAACTTAGTTATTACCAGATCAAATAATAGTTCTTTCAATTTTTAGTGCATGGTCATATTGAGATTCTTATTTCAAAGTAGGAAACATGCTAATTAGCAGTTACTTGGTTAATTTTGGGTTGTCTCTGAATCAAATACTGTGGGTAGCCCTTCCTCAATCTTTTATAAAAATTTCCTTAGATTTAATCTACCTTGGAGTTGCAGAAGCAGTAGGTTTGAACTTCAGAGCTGGATTCATAATGTCCAAAGATAAGCTTTGAAAACCTGCACGTGGATGGTGTGGCCCTGGATCCACAAACATAGTATTGGGATAAAAAGATTGAGAATTTTCAGTCTGTACATTTTCAAGTCATTCTCCATCATGCCATAGTTTTTCCCAGATGGATTAAAACATTTTATAGCTATTTATAAAAGAGTGATTTGATACCGTAATTCAGTTCACATGACAGTCCTTGAACATTGGGTCCCTAACGGGGGAGTAAACTGGATTAAATGAAAAGGGGATAGAGATGGCTGTTCTGGGTTAATAGAAACTCAAAAAACTCAGCACTCACAAAGCAGAGTATGAGCTTTGAGTGATTCCTTGATTGAGGGCAATGCTGTGTAAAGGTCATTTGGGGACAGTTTGGGAAATTTGAAAATTGGACTATAGTAGATGATAATATTGAGCAAAAGCATCAAATTGTTTGAGTGTGTTAGGGATATTGTTAGTTACAAAGGAGAATGTCTTTGTTTTTAGATTCATTCTCAAGTAAAGGGGTGAAGCATCAAAGTTTTCAATTCTCAAATGGTTTGAAAACAGTGTATGTCGAGGGGAAAGCATGGAGTGGGGATATGAGGGTGAAGAAGTGAGGCAACAGAGGGTGGGCATATGTGGCAAAATGTTACGAAATTTTGTGAACAAAGTATTATAGTTAGTGGATCTGAGTGAAGAGTGTCTGGGAATTCATTGTTCTCTTAGCTTCTCTATGGATTTAAAGTTTTTATAATAAAATTTCGAGAGGATATACAATAAAGGGAAGCTAAGTTTGGAAAAGTAGTGATATTTTAGGGTGATTTTTCCACACTGTATGAAAGGCTACTTGCTGTTTGTAAACTGAGTCCAGTTCTCATCTTGATTTAAATGCCTAGCTTAATGGTGAATAGATTTAGTTGGTACATGTAGGTTCTCCTAATGGAACCTGCTTGTAAAATGGTTGTATATAGACAGATACTATTCATTAGTATATCAGAAGTCAAGATTAAGAAGGTAAAGGAGAGGAAGCAGCCTGAAACCCCAGCCACTTACTGGGTCACATGCCAGTAGAAATCTTTTGTTTTAAACTCATTGTGTGTGTTCAGGGAGGGGGAAGTTTGTTTACCAATTTGTTCTCTGTTACTGTCAGCATATAGAATTTTGAGTATTTAATAAATTTTCTGAAATATTTAGTTCATTCCTCATTTAAAACATGGAAGGTAAAGATAGTCACTATTCCTTAAACCAAAAAGGCTTCTTGGGGCGTGGGTCAAGGGTAAAGGAAATGAGGAATATGAATATGAATAATTATCTGAGTGTACCTTTATTAATGCATCTACAGCCTTGACTAAAGCCACCTTTACACTGTTGCTGGCTTTAGTGATGTACTAAACACCTCTTGAAACATTGGTAAGTCTGGGTCACATGAAGAATGGTTTTTGCTCTTTATAGAGACCCTTCCCCCAGATAATTAACAGTCTAACTTGTCTTACCTAACAGTCATTTCTTTGTGACCCATATCCTTCCATGAGACAATTAGAAAGTCTAAAAATTTGATGGAGCGCCTGGGTGGTTTAGTCAGTTGAACATCCGACTTGGGCTCAGGTCATGATCTCATGGTTCATGGGTTTGAGCCCCGCATCAGGCTCTCTGCTTTGGATCCTCTGTCCCATCCTCCCTACCCCCCCCCCCCGTTCCTCCTCTATTGATGCTTTCTCTCCCAAAAATAAATAAACATTAAAAAATTTTTTTTTTTTTAGTTTAGAAATCTTCCAGCTGAACCTTTTTTCTGTGTGAAGGAGACTTGGCCTCTTTCAGAAAGAGTGTGAGACTTGGCCAAGATGGCGCAGCTGGCTGGTGCTGGCCCTGGAAGTCACCGCTGGTTTTACTGGCCTTTACTGTATGTCACGTCATCATTGAAACAAGAGGACAAGCTTCTCATATGCTGTGCATGTGTGTGTGTGCGCGTACGTGTGGGTATGTGTGCGTGTGGGTATGTGTGCATGTGTGTACGTGTGCGTGTGTGTATTGATTTATTTGTGAAAGAATGATTAGCATTTAATGCCAAGTGCCATTATTGCATATCACTTATTGAATTGTTCTTTGTACATGTTGTCCTGTAAATTGTAAACTTTTTCTGGGCAGAATTTTTGTCTGTTTTGTGCACAGCTGTTTTCCTGGTACCTAAGACAGTAGCTGGAATGTGATGGGTGCCGACTGAATATTTACTGAACGAATGAATGAACCAGAACCAAATGGCCTAAGAAGAGATTCATGGTTGCCTGTATAGCAGGGTTTCAGGGAAATAATTGGTCTGTCAGAACACCACACTCCCATCTCACGAGCTGATATCTAACTAAACTATTAGACATTGGGTTCTTGTTTATATTCCACTGCTCCTGGGAGTGGTGATGCATTAAGCTTGCTCGGCTTAGGGATTTGCTAACTCAGTATGGACGATTTTAACAACCTCTTGCCTCGGAGTGCTTTTCGATGAAAGGATGAGTAAAGTGTGGATAAGTAGAAAGAGTGAAGTTGAAAAAGGAGAAACAAGGAAGAGGAAGAGATGTAAAGACAGACTGTGAGTGTATCCTGATTTTGAACACCACAGCATTATGGGTGTGTGGCTTGGGGAATACTTTGGAAAACCTGGCATGGGGTGGTCTGTCAGACTCATTGACGGTCTTGTGGCCCCAGGAATTTGTATCATATAATCAGCTGCAACTCAAGATGGTCAAAGACTTGAACGTGGGGAATCGTGGTGAATCCCCAGTGCCGTGTGTGGGCGCTCGTGTGGTGTCGCAGGTGAGGGAGTGGCTGCTCTCTGGAGAGCGTGGGGGCCTCGAGCTTTCATGTGCTGCTGCCTTACGTGCTGTGTATCGTGCGTTGGTCAGTATCGTGTGTCAGTCATGGCTGGGTAAACCTGTGTGGAAAGACATGCTGACCCTGTCTGTGTTTTGGTGCAATGTTGAAGATCAGATTCATTTCTAAATGCAGAATTCTAGTTTAGGTAGAAAGTTGTCGAAGTCGTGTATCCCAGATGAAAAAATGAACACGTCAGAACAGACATTAGAGAACATGCAGCTTCCTGGCATTCTCTCTGACACAGGATAGTTATTTAATAGATATTTGGTGTATGGGATGAGAGAGAAGAAGGGAGTTTTTGTGACTGGTGATTCAAATGGTGAATGCAACCAGGTTCATGGTTTCATAGATTGTTTCTATTTTGAGTCCTTAGATGGCATCGTTAACAGTCACTGCCTTTTTTTTAAAGATGTGTGCACCTTTTCTCCACAATAGCTAAAACATGGAAAGAGCCAAAGTGTCCATCAGTGGACGAATGGATCAAGAAGATGTGGTTTATCTATACCATGGAATACTACATGGCAATGAAACAATGAAATCTGGCCATGTGTAGCAACATGGATGGACCTTGAGGGTGTTATGCTGAGCGAAATGAGTCAGGCAGAGAAGGACAAATATCATATGTTTGCACGTATAGGAGGATTAAGAGGAACTTGACGGAGGAACAAGAGGGAGAAGAAGGGGGAAAATGGTGGGGGAAAGGGAGAGAGGCAAACCATGAGAGACTCTGGAATGCTGACAAAAACTGAGGACTGATGGATGTGGGAGGGAGGAGGGATGGGCATGGAGGAGGGCACTTGTGGGGATGAGCACTGAGTGTTATGTGGAAACTAATTTGACAATAAACTACTTGTAAAAAAAAAAAAAAGAAATGTTAAGGGGGAAAAAAAGGATTAAAAGGCTTCACCCTTCTAAAAAAATAAAAAAATAATAAAAGATGTGTGCACCTGGACATTAAGAAGATGAGCGGAAAAGAAGTAAATCTGTTTTCACTGTAGAGGAAAAGTAATTTAAATACAAACATAGAACAAAGACACAATCTGAATTTGTGCATCCACCTTCACCTCCCTGTGCCTCAGTTTTTTCATCTGTAAAATAGGGCTAACAATGTGTACTTCATAGCCTTGGTCAGTGAGGATTAGAAGAGGTTATCTGCAAAAAGGCATTTTGATGAAAAGATATTTCGATAGAGCAGTGCCTGGCACATTACAGGTGTCCAATGGAGTGTTAGCTCTTGATGCTGGTAGCCATATTTATGCAGCTAAAGGCTGAGAGATTAGAGCTAGTCTGCAGTAGTTTGAAGAAATGTGCTAGGAAGGAAAGACTTGTCTTAATTTATATGAAAGCCATTAGTGAAAATGAAGGGCATGTAGGAACTGGAGCAGAGATTTGGAAATGCAGCAGCTCGTGTGGACTGGTTGGTCTGAGCTGCGAGAGATGAGCATTGGACCCTCTTCATTCCTTTGTTTCCCTTCTTTGCACAGTAGAGAATAATTTCATTTGTGCTTTTTTAGCAAAGTGATTTGAGGTCTAGGGAGACATGCTGAGGTGATGCAGTGTAGGAAAGCATTTCAGAAAGGTAAGATGCAAGACAGATCTGGGCCACTGTGGTGCGAATTAAAGATGTTCTTTTTCCTGTGGGCCTTCCTGTCACTTCCCCAGGACTGCCCCATCCATCCAGGTGTTCTGTCAGAATCGTGACAGGAGTGGCTCACCGAAGGAAAACCAGTCTGACCAGAACAGATGAGTCAGCTGGTCATCACTGTCCCACAGGGGCTCTCCGGTAGAAAAGTATTTAAGGAAAGGAGATCATTGTAAACACATTTGGAGAACAAGTATATGTTGTTTACCCCTTGACAATACAAGAAATGGAACTTCAGACTTTTTTTCTGGGAGCTTAGATTAATTGAAATGCCATAAGGAAATTACCCAGTATATGATATGATCATCTAAATAAATGGGAAGTGATAAGTTATTATAGAACTTGGAGTGATGATGATGTGTCAGTGTGGGTTCATCCTTGGTTAAAACAAAAAGGTGCTGGTCTGGTGAGTGATGTTGAATAGTGGGGGAGACTGTGCATTTGTGTGGTACAGATTACATGGTAAATCTCTATAACTTTATTCGGTTTTATTGTAAACTCACCTATGCTCTAGAAGGGTAAGTGTTTAATAAGGAAAGAAATTATCATAGAGCTGAGAAGGACCTTGGATCTTGTCTCATCTCCATGCTTTACTTTAAAAACTTGGAAACTGAGTCTGAAATGTAAGAAGTGGTTATTTCCCCAAAGTTATCGTTTGAAATAATAGAGGTTGTCTTGATATCTGGGTATTTTCTACCCTAAGACAACTTCTCTTTTTATTTTTAAAATAACTAGCAGGGTATCTGAGGGTGGAATATACCTCCTTTGTAATATACTTATAATGTTTTTGTTTACATATATACACATGTAAGGTCTTCCTTCAAAGTGGGAAAGACACAAGTAGGCAAAGTTACCAGGTACTGAAATCCTTTTTTTCCCCAGAGCCCTGAAATTTCTTATTTGCTCACTAGTCCTATCCCCTTTGCGGCATTTTTGCTGATGCCCCTGTCCATTGCAGTGGTTGTGTCTTTGTGGGATGGGAAAGGAGCCCTGGACTCTTCGCATAGGAACCTAAGAAATAAGAGATAGTTGGTGGTTCCCTGTCCCACTAAGCTCATTCACAGACCTGCTGATCTGGGGATGGGAACATATGAATCATCATCATCATCATCATCATCATCATCATCATCGCCATCGCCGCCGCCGCCGCCACCACCACCACCACCGTCATCATCATTTACTTTGTGCTTTGAAGTTTGCAGCGTATATTCACAAGTTACGTAACTTTGTTATCACAGCTATCATTTACAGTAGGTATTATTGCAATCATTTTGCAATATATAAGTGCATTATACCAACACATTATATACCTTAAACTTACACAGTGTTGTTATATGTTAATTATGTCTCAATTAAGCTGGAAAAAATGTAAAAAAAAAAAGATCTTATTAACTCAGCATGAAAGGTGTGAGAAGTAGAGTTCAGAGAAGTCTACAATGGAAGAGGCCAGTGAAAGGGTGAGAGTATACTCAGCTTTTCTGAATCTAAAATCTGTGTTCTTTTCATACTAGGTATATCCTTGTTCTGGAAGCTTTACAGCCTGGCATGATTATGTTAGAATTAGGAAGAACAGATGAATTATAGTGACTGTGAGTATATCATCTCTGGTAGTATCTGATCTGTGAGCTGGAGTGGAGGGGCAGCCAGCCCATGTGTCTCTGAATGTATTTAGAGCAGTTGTTCAGGAAGGCTTTTCGGAGATGATAGCTGGAGGAGGTTTGGGACGATTGAAAAGAAGTGTAGTTGCCCCCGAGCTGCGGAATCAAATAAAAAGGCAGTACTGTCGTGAACATAAGTTGGTGCCACATCTCTGCATCTTGGCGCCAACTCAGGATTCTGTTGGTTTAAGAATCACAGAGTTTGGGGCAGACGGAGTTGAAATGATCTGAGTTTCAGGAGCGTACTGTGTTCAGTAATCTGTCTTCGTCCCTCAGCACTGCTTTCCCTGTGTTGGCTTCTTGTGGTGGAGAGGCAGAGATGGGCAGTGTTCTGCCAGCTCAGCAGTCTTGGGAGAGAGGGAGCCTCGTCTTGTCTTCTCCAGCAGGAATCCTGCTCCCACCCCTCTGTGGTCGGAGTTCAGTCCTGTGGCCATTTTAAAATCAGTTTCTTGCAGTTGATTGGCCAATCTGTCACGAACGCACCCTTTGATGGGATGACTCTCCTGTCCCACTCAGATGTACCCAAACTGCTGGGACCCAGAGGTAGGTGGAGTCAAAAGGGACTTGAGATACAGTTACCAAAGAATAAAGGAAAGGTGCTGGGGCACCCAAAGCAGTAAGGAGGCTTAAAAATACATATATTTTAAAATTCTGGATTATTTTACTTTCATGTTCTAAAGGTGAGGGAAGGAAGATTATCTTTTTTAAGGCCTGATTCAGAATAAAGTAGTGGTAGATTTTTTCTGGCAGAGTGGTAAGTCAAATAAAACTTGGGACACTGACCTTGAGGGAGGCAAAGTTTAAAGAGGACAAACATAGGAGGTAGTGTACAGACCAGGAATCACAGAGCCTACTGCTTCAGGCCGCATGAAAACTTAGCTTGTGATGGTCCTTGCCATGATCTGTATCAAGCTTCAGAGAGAGATAGGTGGGAGGCAAAAAGAGAGGTTTATTAATAGAGCTTTCACCGATACTTCTTTGCTTTACATGGTTACAGTTTAACATTGAGAAGTCAGGAATTGAAGGAATCTTATGTCAGACTAAAACACTGACTGAATACCAGGCCTATACTTAATTCTGAGTCTCAGCCAAGTGTTAATACATACAGCTGTTTCATTGATTTGTTTAAATTCCATCGCTGCAGTTTCTAGTGATCATTAAAGCGATAATGCCCAAACATTTTTGTCTTCAGATTCATACTTTTTTATGCAGACAGTTCCTAAATTATTTCCTTTATCTTAAAAAAGTATGTTAAATATTTCTCACCAGTAATTGAGTGTTGGATCTCCCACAAGCAGAAACATTTTAAGCCTGGTTAAAATATTTAGCCTCTGATAATTTTAAGGTGTCTGCAGAGGTTGTCTTTTTCATCAGCTCACTGTATTCATTTGGTCTTCCAGGTGCAAAAGTAAAGCATCAAAGTTGGCAGTCACAGCTTCATTATCATTACTTCTCTGAGTTGTGTTTGGTCCTTAAGTCTGTCTGAAGTACCAACAGTAATTTCTTGTCCACAGCTTGTGTGGTCTCAGGTTTTAAGACAAACTGAGATTGTTACTGCCAAGTCCTAACCGCTCCAGTGTTTGTAGTGATTAAATGCTAGTGGTTAGAGGTTTAGGGAAGGTTGAAGAACATCTGGTTCC